TTGTTTGTTTGTTTGTTTGTTTGTTTGTTTGTTTGTTTGTTTGTTTGTTTGTTTGTTTGTTTGTTTGTTTGTTTGTTTTGGGAGCCAAAAGTGACCAGGTTTGGATGACAGAGTGGAATCCTAAGCCAGGTAAAAATGTGGAAAAGCCTGGTTAGCATGCTGTATAAATAATTCAATTTCAGTTCAGTTCAATTTTATTTATATAGCTCCAAGTCACAGCAGCAGTTGTCTGCTACTCAGTGCTAACAGCCTAATAAAGCACTATAACTTCCCTCATCAAAATGCCCACATTTAATGGAAGTGAGAGCATACTGTACATCACATGAAAACATTTGCCAAGTAATTCCATTAAAAAAGCTCCAGAAGACACCAACAAAACAAATGCAGTTGAGAGGTCCAGTTCAGACAACAGCCATTGTCTACAGCTAATAGTGTCAAGAGACATGTCAATCACACAGCCATGCATATAACTCCAGTATTCAAGTTAATGGGTTAAAAAAGAAGAAATCACCTGCAGTACACTTGTTATGAAAGGGCTTGAATATCATCTACAAATTATGTAAGGATTAGCTTCATGAATAAATCACCATGATATCCATGAAATTCATTGGCAACATCTCATTCATTACATTAAACTAAATGAGGGCCAAAAAATACTTGATGGAGACATATTTAGACTAACATATCAGTAGATTATCTGTCCCTTATAGGTTTTATAGGTTTACTCAGTTTTAATGAATTGATTCAATCCTCTATTGAGTCCAATTAAATTTTAACAGATTTTAAAGATTTGATTTTTGGCTAATTTTTGGCGAAAAGAACAAAAAAAACAGAATGTTCTTTCATCTGTGAAACATTAGAGATGAAAACTTTAATGAGGCCTTCAAAGAATGCTATGTTTGTGGAAAACACGCTCTCTCTGTTATTCAGCTGCAAAGACAATACACAGCGGGGCCTCTTCTCACAAATGCAACCCCTGCAAATCACGATCCGTTGAAGGTCCCTTTGAATTGAAACGTACACGGGGGGCCTCTGCTCCATGTTGCTCTGTCAGGAATTTGAACAATGGGGTCATGTATCTTTCGGCGTGAGGTCAGGTATAAAAGCAACTCGTGGGATGTCGTGAAAACTGTGCAGTCCTTCTGAGCCTAAAGAGTCCTAACTGAAACCATGACCATGGGAAAGGTGTGTGCAGCTTTGGCTATTTCATTGTTCGGATTTTTTGCATTTGATTGGATGCTGAACAAATGTGGATGCGATGCAAAAAGTACCATATCAAATAGTCCTTGTTTTTTCTCTTTTTTTCAATTTCAGATCATCTTCTATGAGGACAGGAACTTCCAGGGTCGTTCCTATGAGACCAGCAGCGACTGTGCTGACATGTCCTCCTACCTGAGCAGGTGCCACTCCTGCAGGGTGGAGAGCGGCTGCTTCATGGTCTACGACCGTACCAACTACATGGGAAATCAGTTCTTTGTCAGGAGGGGAGAGTACTCTGACTACCAGCGTATGGGCATGAGTGATTGCATTAGGTCCTGCCGCATGATCCCCATGGTACTGTAAATTGAAAACTCCTTCTAATATCTGACATATGGTGTAAGATGCTGAACCTGGCGAAAGCATATTAACGAGATCTCTTTGATTCATTGTTATTCATTTCAATTTACAGCACAGAGGCCAGTTCAGGATGAGGATCTATGAGAGGGAGAACTTCGGTGGTCAGATGTACGAACTGATGGACGACTGCGAGAACATGATGGATCGCTTCCGCATGTCCGACTGCCAGTCATGCAACGTGATGGATGGCCACTGGCTGATGTACGAGCAGCCCCACTACAGAGGCAGGATGATGTACCTGAGGCCCGGAGAGTACAGGAGCTTCAGGGAGATGGGAATGAGCGGGATGAGGTTCAATAGCATGAGGCGCATCATGGATTCCTGTTATTAGAGCACCAGTGTATAAAAGCATGATTTTAAATAAAAATCTAATAATTCTCTTTTAATTGAATTTGTCACTGAGTGATCGGAAACTTGCACAACAAACCAAAATAAGACACGCAAACATAGGCTACATTTTTGTATAAATTAGCAACAGCTAACTTTTAAGTGCTATGCTGTGTATTCAGTTTAACAGCAAACCTTTAGGGTCACTATGCTGCACACCACCAGATGACAGCATATCACCATTTTTATTTATATCTGTAAATGTAACCACAGTAAATGGTGGCATTTAGGCAAATTATAAATACATTAAATACACCGCAATATTAGAAATGCAGAATATGTGAATGCAGTCCTTCTGTTCTGCAACATTTGCCTTTTTATTCATGCAACGACCTGTAAAAAGGCACAACAATTTAAATTACACATAATTTATTAATTGTGCCAATGTAATTTTGAATATGAGGAAATGTATGCATAAAAAGCAGCATACAGAATAAATGGCAACTAATTCTTTAATATTTTTCAATAGCATATGCTGTTTCCCTTCTAGTTAGAATAATTACAATTTAATTAAATTAAAGCTGGCAGGTTATAACACATAGTCACATATATAGGACATGCTATTCATAAAATGCATTTACGGGTTCAGCAGAGTTCAGTATATGAGTTTTTAATATGTCATCGTGATGTGCAGTATATCATCAAAAGGTTGTGTGTAGTTGTGCAACGTGTGACCTTCAGGCAGCTTCATGGAAATGCACTGTATGGGCTCAGGAACTCTTCCAGAAATCATTGTCTCTGAGCACAGTTTGCTGTGCCATCCGCAAATATAGGTTAATGAAACATATCATCAGGAAAAACACTGAAAGCTGATTAAAAAGGACTGAAGCAAATTGAAAATTTCCTCTGTTAGAGGTCAGATAAATCAAAATTTGAAATTATTTTTGCATTACAAAAAGATCTTCGTTTGATGTTACTGTCATGTTCCCTTTGTCCTCTCCAGTTGGCTCACTACTTTCTATCTATCTCTCTCTTATAAGCATTCTACCTCTCCTCTGTCTATGTGTGTGTGTGTGTGTGCGTCTGTGTGTGTGTGTGTGTGTGTCTCACTCAGTCTCACAGTTGCTCCTGATGTCGTTGTTGTGACAACTTTTTAAGGCAGTGGTGGCTGACCTTCAGTCCTCGCTGGTTTGTTTTACAGCTTCTGTACATGTTCCTACTTTCCTCCAAGGAAGAATCTCACTCATTGTTTCCCTGTGAACTTGTGATCCTCCCAAAGAAACCTGTGTTGGTGATCTGTAGAGAGAATCTGTGGGAAAGTGTGGCTCTGTGGAAAACCTTGCCTGAGGGGACTGGGACCATCGCTACTGTTGAACTTCTGTGTTACACATTATTCACTGTAAATAAATGCACTGAACTTGATGTTGAGTCCTGTGTTTGAGTCGACCTAGATCTGTGATATTCCTTGTTTGTTTGTTTTCATTTTACCAAATTAAACAGTTAA